AAATAAGCATACTTGTAGCATTGACCAGGTCCATGTACGCTTCAATGAAACAGACTCAACGTTGAAATTCTGTATCAAATCATATGCAGACAACTTTAACTTCTCCGAAAACTGCAATAAAAAAGAGGAGCAACCTTTTGACTTACAAAATTGGTCACCGCAAAAAAAAAAAAAATAAACAAAGAACTGCTTAGCAACGATTTTGGTGATTGCTGCATATTAGTATTTGGTTTTTTATGCCTGTTTCAATCCTGGGCTGCCCGGAGCGGGGTTTTTTTGTGGAATCGCCTCTCAACCATTTATATAAAACATAAATACGCAAGAAACTGCTGGTACCACCTCTAATCACTCACAAACTAAGCCTGCTAAGGTTTCGTGCAAAATTCACTGCATATCTGTTTCACTCGAACTTACGGCAGTGCTCCCCCTCGTCCTCGGCTTCATCTAACATGCAAGCAAAATTTACATGATCCGTCTAACCATTCTCTCCAGTGCCCGCAGTTGTTTGAAATATGCGATATCGCGCTCATCTAGCAAAAAACACTTAGAAAGCACAAACCTGGAGGCCATGTCTGTTTGCTTTTATTGTGGTTTGCGTGATCTGTCCCTGTGATTGGCTTTTGCCAAGTTTCTGTGGCGAAGTTGGCACTGTTCCATATGGCTCACACGTTATCAGCTCAAACTGAGGCTTCGGAATCGGGAGAAACTGCATTAGCGAGCGTAGTTCCGGGATTAGTGCACGTTCATTTAATTCTTTCTAAAATTGCAGGACATGCAGCCTCCTACCAGCCTTTAAAAAAATCAGTGTGCAAGTAAAACAAATATAGCAAGCTTTTGATGATAACTTCAAGCTAAAAAACCTTTGACGATTGTTACAGAGTTCTGAAAATATGATGATTTCACGATCAAAGCCTTTTCATAATTGAATTTAGCACCCAAATCTTTCAGTGGTGATTTTTCAACGCTAATTTTACTTGACTGTAGCTCGCAAATGAATTACATACACGCAATTTCTTAACAATCAGCGAATAGTTGGCAAATCGAAATTTCGTATCCGGATCCTGAGCATTCACTGGAACCGCATTCATCGGGTCTGTTATCGACCACACCAACAGCGTTGACAGCATATCGTAGCATGAGTCAAACAGATATCTATAAGACAATTGATGCCTTCAAAACTTAGGAAACACAAGAAGAACACATGGCTAATCACGAATAGAGTAAAATGCAATAGAATTTTGTTTTAAGCCACTTTAATAATACAGGGAACTCGCAATGCCAGCCCAGTAATCTTGCGGTATATGAAAATCAACTGTTAAGAGTAATTCCCCAAAAAATTATTCTCTCTCCAACAGTTACTAAAAAATTATATACATAAGCCATATCCCTTCAAAATCCCGAAAGTAAAAAAACCGCTTTCATCCGTTCTCAAACGCCATGACGAAGCCGTGCCAGATTAGAGGCTCAGAATAAGTGTAAGCTGTGCATGCAGATTCCTGAAATGTAAAAGGAGCAATTCACCTATCTCTTTCTCTCGAAACAACACCATATAACATAAGCTGGAAGAGTGTGAGCGCCCAAGCATCGCAATTCGATGGATGACATACCGAATCGAACATACCGCCGACCAGTGATAGACGTAACAGCACTCCTTCCCGTTCCAGCGAAAATTTTCGCAAGTAAGGCAACAGAGGATTCTGCAAACTGAATTTTTTATCCACAAATCAACAAATCCTATCAGTAAGACTGATTTTCAAATTTTAGAAAATGCTTGAAATGCAAGCTGAATATTTTCCCAATTCTTTTTACTTTTTTTAGCAAGGACAGTTTCATTGAAGCTAGTATTTGTTGAAAGAAAATAATGTATTTTGTTTTGAAGTTGGCCGTCTGGAATAAAAAAAAAAAAAACTTGAAACTGACTTCAAAACGGCGTTTTTTTTTGAGCTGTCACATAATGAGAAACTGTTAAAAACCCTAAAAAATTTTTTAAAATATCACTTATGTAAATAATTATCTAGAAGATGAACACAGGCTAACATCTTTAGCTTTTGCAGCCAAGTCCTGTAGTTGTTTGAGTAACGACCCGACCAAGCCATCACGCTGCTGCTCCTCGCCGTTTAGACATGTCAGCACCAAATTTAGAAATGTTTCCTGGCTCAGTAACCAGGCACTGAAAACAAATGTTTAGTGCGATCTGTTTGGCTAAAGTTCGTAACATCCTAGAGACCTTGGCTAAACTTCATACATCCGCAGATGCCTTTTCTGTTTGATTAAATCTCGCAACAGTTTCAGGCAGAAATCCGTTTTCAGCTCATCCAAACTAAAACAGAAGCAGTCTGCTTTCGGCGAAATGCATTCTAAAACAAGCAGCGCTGCACATGAAGAAGCGCGCATGCATATGCACCTTTGGAGTAACTCGTTGCAAG